AGCTTGACGTAGTTTACTGTACATGTAACCCCCCCCCCCCTCCTCCCCAGCGTAGGGTCTGTACGCTTCTGAAAATGTTGATAATCATGGATGGCCCCTTATAGTTTCCATGTCATAGCACTCCTATATCCCTCGCCCCAAGTTCCAATGTCAATGCCTACCTTCCGATTAGATTGGTCAATAACTTCCTCTTTCTCTCCCGTCAATCGATCAAGCTCTCGTTCATAAACTTCTTTTTGTTTTTCCAGTTGCTTGCGAAATGCGTCGTCACACGAATGCAGTTTCTCTATCGCTAGACTTTGAGATGAAAATAAAAAATGCAGTACAAATGCAGTATTCAATCTCTCTAATACAAAGGAGCATAGCAAAGTGCCCATTTAAAAAAATGTCTGCGAGGACTGTTAATTCGAAGTTCGACTGTTAATCAACTTCTCAAAAATTCCACATGACCTGATGACTGCGTTCCAAACTCAAATCTGGGTCAAGGTAGCGTTCAAAATTATTATGCTCAATTTTTCAAATTTTTTTTCAATTTTTTTTTTCAATTTTTCTGCTTTTGTTGGCCAAGCATTTGACGTTTGATTCCTTCCGCGTGCAGTAGTACAGTATGCCCCATAAGTCACTTCTGTAATAACTAAAGCCCTGATCAGACAAGGATGAGAGTGCATGGGAGTTGGCAGCTATGTGATCTTGGTTAGCTGTTCTGAATGCTTTCCCAACACTATCATGTATTTTATTTAAGTTAAACGTACAGTAGTTGGAACACTCATCGAGCCTTTATTTTGTTAATCTAGAGCTTGAAATGTCCCCGTAAGGGGCGGACCATTAGAAAAGTGATGGGGGGGCAAAAGCAAAAATAAAAATCGAGCAGGAAAAACAGAAAAAAAAAATTCGTGCACCAGAAATGTTTGAAAAAAAAATTCGCGCAGAGACTTTTCAATAGGGAAAATTATAAGTTGACCGGGCCTATCAGAGGTACAGTGTAAGGGTGTCCCCCAAATTTGGAAAATAAGCGTTTTGCTAATCATGTTTTAAGAAGTTTTTTAGGGGAAAATGTGTTTTAAACCTTAACTAAACTGATATTAGTCCGAAAAAATTTTTTTGCGACCTTTTTTCTTTTCCTGAAAAAATTCTTGAGTCTGGGAAAAAGTTTTTCACCCCCAACATTTTTTTGGGAAAAAAAATAAAATTCGAGAAAGGGATTATTTAAAAAAAAAATAAACAACACAGCAAAAAATTTTGAAAAAAAATTCGTGCACGTTGAAAATGGACCACCCCCCCTCCCAATCACTTTTCTAATGGTCCGCCCCTAACAATGCGTGACTGCCAACTCTCGCAATGGCCCTTATTTAGTAGACCTCTAGAGAGAACAGTTTAGAACTGACAGCTATCCAGTATAGAATAAAGTTAGTTTATGTTTGTGGTGTTACCGGGCAAGCTGAAAAGTTTGCCTGACCACGGTGGGAATCGAACCCGCGACCTTTGAGATACCAGTCCAATGCTCTACGAACTGAGCTACGAGGTCAAGTCGGTTCGAGTGGACTCAGTTCCGAAATATCACCAAATCCCACCGTGGTCCGGTGTGGATGCACACTCAGAGTAACACCACAAACATCATATTCACCTGAGTACATATATAACACCAACACACACAAAAAGTTAGTTTAGTTTAGGTTTCCTCCTGTAGTAACACTGGATCAATAAAGGATGGCCCATGATGGCACTCCATAGAGAACAGTTTAGAACTGGATAGCTCATCTTGTATAAATAAAGTTGGGTTTGGTTTATTGTACTGTATGTGTGTCTATTTGGACAGCATAATCAAACTTACTTTCCCGCTTTTATCGCTTTGTCTTTTTCTTCCGTTAATTTCTTTTCCTTTGTATCAAACTGATTTCGCATTTCTTTTACCTCTTGTTCTAAACGACCAATGAGATCACTCCGCTCTTGCCATTTGTTTTTTAGTGATCTAGAATACAATGAAAGTGTGAGATTAACTAAATTTACTGCTAAACTGAGTCTAAAAGTCCAGTAAGTAGATTGTTTCTAGAGGAGGAATGTCGAGAAAAAACCTGCGATGTTTTGTTGAGTCAAAATGGAAGCACTCATCTGACATATACAACTGAAGTGAATCGAACCTCGATGACAGGCATGCAATAACCTCTGCGCTACCATATGGTGATGTGTATATCTCCAATTTAAGCCTGGTTCACACTGGCAGTTTCGTCGGCGATTTTTGTCCTCCTGGCGGATGTGACTGAATAAGTGACATGCAAAAGACTTAGAAATGTATAGGTCCAAAACGCGATTCCACACTTTTGGCTGCGAGTTCACTCATACACATTTGTCAGAAGGAGAAAATCCTCATAGTCGGATTTGATATATTACATAAAAGTACCTTTTCGCCTCTTCGGACTTTTCTAGCTCACTTTGAATAGCGGATAATTCATCTTTCAATTCTTCTTTTCTTTGTGCAAAACTTTCATTTTTCTCCTAAAATAACCACACATTATGACAGGATTGTAAATTTTGAGGAATCACATTTTATATAGGATTACCTTTCGCATGAAAATCCGAAATCACTTGTTAACGTGTCAGATTTTTGGTGTCGTTCATTTCAAGAAGAAATGCAATATATATCTTTAGTAAAAATATCTTTACATCACGTCAAAACCGACTGTTAAATTGTCGTTCACTGCATGTTAAAGTTGTCGGATTTGATGTCATTTGCTGAATTTTAGCGCGGCAATAAACAAAGGAAATCCAATTTGCAATTCATCAAATGATATCATATCCCGCAAATTTCACAGTGGAAAAGTCGATGAAGCGAGTGGCACCTCTGGCAGCCACCTTATGACCGATCACGAAGCACATCTAACCCAGCCAGTCAAATTCCCATGTGGGACGAACAGGTCTAGAGAATATATTTATCTTCCTTGCAGCAAAATCCAAAAATAAAAGTTTTCTGTGTAAGTCAAATGTAAAACTTTTGCATAGGTAGGCATACAGAAGATTCCAAAAATTTCTGCATGATGAGCATTTCCTGTGAAAATATTTTGTTAAAAATTTCTTGGTATTAGTACGGATGGACATTTTTTCAGCGCTGGGGACGAAACCGGAGTAGAAAACCCACAACTTTCGGCAGAGCGTTGGCTCATGAGTAATGTACTAATTCATACCTCAAGGTCTTGATTGACAGCAAGTTGTTGCTCCAACCGTTCTTCTAAATCTCTTAGTTTATTTTTTTCATTTTCTTCAATCTTCTGATGTTCACTGTCGCGTTCATTTAAACTCTAGATATAAAAAATGTGGAACTAGTTGATCAAGTTCCAGTTATTCTCATGAGGATTTATTTGAAAACTCAGTCAGTGTGGGTATATCCGAGCTGGCTCGTTTTGCCCAGACCAATTCAGAATTTTAGCCGTATTTATATGAGACTGTTTAGGTGAGCTTGCTCGCCAAAACAAAGCATCCAAATAATTAAACTATATTTTCAACGAGCCTAAACTTGCGAGGACGTTTCATAGCTACAGTATAACCGAGCTACAATCACAGCTACGAGTGTGACAATCTTACAGTTTGTCAACAAGATGTGTTCGCACCACTGGTTCGCACTGCTTAGGCCAAAAAAAAATATGTGGGTTTCCGGTTTCCCGACCCTACCTAGCTTTTGGACGTCGAAATCCCGACGCTAAACTTTTTTATTGGATCATGCTTGTAAGTGTTTCCACTTAGAGGAAAAACTTTGTGGAAAATTGAAATTTGAGGCAATATTAGGGAAATTTATCTTTGGATGTGGAAGCACTGACTAAACAAAATGGCGTCCGGTTGTTCGGAAAATTTTAAAAAAAAGTTTAAAAAAAAAAGTTAAAACCGACCTACCCTACCTAAGTTTTTATAAGAAGAAACCGGAAACCCACATATATTTTTTTGGCCTTATTCCTAGTTGTTGACAAGTCTGGAACAAGTTGTTATCATCTTGTAACAAGGTTGATGAGGTCAGCAGACTCGCAACAAGTTGTTCCAACAAGGCTGATATCGTCTGCACGTGTAACAAGTTGTTAACAAATTGACAACAACAAGCTTTAGAACAATTTGTATAGCAAGTTTGTTACCATCATCAACCTTGTAACAGGATGATAACAACTTGCTCCAGACTTGTCACAACAAATGGGAACAAGCAGTGCGAACATAACCTGATATCGGCTTGACAACAACCTTGTTACAATATGTATGCATATCTGTAACACCATGGATAATAAAATAAATGGATAGGAAACTAGCTGACGTGACCTAATGTTTTTAATGGGCTGATGGCGTGATTGGATGTAGAAACCTAGTTGCAAACCAAATTCTCAAAAACGGCATGTTTAGCAATAACACAGCTAAACATTTTAGTCAAAGAGCAAATGAATATAACCACGCCATTCTACGATGAAATCTCTAAGTATTCCCAGTCAATTTTAGCAAATATTTCAAGCACTAAAGAGTGAAAAAGGCATCCCAAATTTCGTTAAAATTGGGGATGCCAATTTCGTAGCTACAAATGTAAAAAAATACAAAACAAAGACGAAAAACATTTACCTTGAATACTTTGTCGTGGCTTAGGCATGTTTTTAAAACAATTAGACCAGTATATGCTTCAATATTACTCTTTTAAAGCGGAAAGTATAGCGAAACAACAAAAATGCCGAGAACTTTGCAATGCGGGTGACGTCACAGATTGCAACTAGGTTGTTTTTGCTTACGTCAGCTAGAGTCCTATCCATTTATTTTATTATCCATGGTAACACCTAGATCTTGGCTAGACCCTCTCAGAGGCATAATATACAATACTAACCTTTTTCAACTGTCTTATGGATTCTGTTTGATCTTCAAGCATTTTGGACTTGATACGAATGGAGTCATTAGCATCCTGCAAAACAAAAATATTATTTTTGAAGTACTGTTTGTCTCATCAGTTAGCTAAATGAAACATCCAAATGTCATATACAGTACCTCTAGTTGCTTTTGCAGTTGTCTTGTCTCGTCTGTGAGACTCTCTACTTTAGATTCCAGTCTTCCGCGGTCCTGTGCAAGGGATGCACCTGGAAAAAGGCGAAACTCTTAGGTCTCACATGACAAACAGCTATAGGACGTGGCATTACATACCTTGTTGTGCTAACTCTTCGCCCCATAATTTCCTTTCCATTCTTAGACCTTGAATGACTGAATCCTGGGCGCGCACTTGCGATAACAGTTTTGATTTGTCCTGGAATAGAGAAAATTGTTTGGAAAAGACCGACTCCAGCAAATACTGCAAGTTTTCACCGGACACACCGAAAGAAGACAATACTAAAATTTACTAAATTTCAAATTTTACCTGTTCTAGAATTTCAATCCTCGATATCCGTTTACGTGCGACCTTCGTTTCCTCTTCCAAAGCGTCAATTCTTTCCTATAGTAGCATACAAGCATGTACAAAACATTTTTGATTATACAGTATATCCTGGGCTGGCATCGTAACAAGTTGAACACCTTAATTCGTGGAACAGAATACAGATCGGGTCATTTGGAAACTTGTACAGTGAACTTATGGCTCATTGAGTATAAATAACAGTGGTGAGCACTTGGGGAAATGGGGCACCCCTCCCCCCCCCCTCCCCCACTTTCCGAAAGCCTTCGAATGATGGCTGAATAATTGTATCAAAAAGCTGTTACAATGATTTTAAAACCATGAAAGCATTGGTGCAAAAGGCCATAAATTAAGCAAATTTGCATAAATGTTAGGGGGAGTAAAAAACCCAACTCATTTGCAGCAACCAAAAAGTGACGACACGATGGAAATCAAAATTGCCCCCCCCCCTTGCTACCGCTAAATAATGTACTGTAAGTTGCATAATAGTTGGGGAAGAAAATATATACCTTGTGTTGGGAAAGAGATTCTTGTTTCGATTTGGTTAACTCTGTGATTCGAACCTTTTGCTCCTTAACTAACTATATGAAAATGATATCATAAATTAAATTGGGTAGCGTTAGGCACAGTAAAATAATTCAGTGGGACGCATTATGGAGCATTAAGGGATAATAGGTATCTAGGGCAGGCTTTTAGCCAGGGTCCTAAAAGAGGGCGTCCAATTTTGGTACAACGATACATCAAAAGTAAGGGGGGTCGAGAAAACGTTCCTCTGGAAAACGTTTAAATTCATGTCAGTATCTGTTCCAAGCGCGTTCGAAATTTTTCAAACACTTTGAAAAAAGCGTGTGAGTTTGTGCCGCTATGCTTCTTTACATAACTACGACATTTTCATTCAGCCAGGTACACCATCAAATTGATCAAAATGTCAAATGTATAATAATAATGAAAATTGAAGCTACAGTATTTCGTTTCAGAAATATTAATATACTTAGGGAAATAATTGAAAATAATTTCCCTTTCCCCCCAGAATTTGGGCGTCCAAAGGCGTCCATTTTTTGTTCTAGGGGCGTCCCAGGACGCCTGGACGCACTTCTGGCTAAAAGCCTGGACGCACTTCTGGCTAAAAG